TTGGTACCGCTCTGTCTCCCTCTTTTCAGCAATACGAAGGTGTGCCCCAGGGTAGTGTTCTGAGCACTACTCTTTTTCTGGTTGCCCTCAATGGTCTTCTTTCCTCTCTTCCTTCTGGTGTCTTCTCCGCTCTCTATGTCGATGATCTTACCCTTTGTTGTCAGGGTGATGATTCGCCTCTCCTTCAACGCCGGCTTCAACTTGCAATTGATGCCGTGTCGTCTTGGGCCACAGGTCATGGCTTCAAGTTCTCTACTTCTAAGACTTGTGCCATGACTTTTACGCGGAAACGGGTTGTTCTTCGTCCCTCTTTGTCACTTTATGGTCATCCCCTTGAATACAAAGATTCCGCGAAGCTTTTGGGGTTATTCCTTGACACTCGTTTGTCTTGGTCTCCCCATATCTCTTACCTCCGTGTTGAGTGCTCTAAGGCCCTTACCCTCCTTCGGGTCTTGTCCCATACTTCTTGGGGGGCAGATAGGCGCACTCTCCTTGCTTTACATTCCTCTCTCGTCCTGTCTAAGCTCGATTATGGTTGCCCTGCTTACTCGTCTGCTTCTCCTTCTACTCTTCGCCGTCTTGATGCTTTGCACCATACTGGGTTGCGCCTCAGTTCTGGTGCCTTTCGTTCGACTCCCGTCCTTAGCTTGTATGTTGACACTGGCTTCCTGTCTCTCCAGGACCGCCGTGATCGCTACTGTCTTCGCTATCTTGCGCGGTCCTTGCAACATCCTTCCTCTCGCCTCTGTCGTGCTTTAACTTTTACCCCTCCTGCGGTTCCTGTTCCTCTTCACCACCTCCCTCTTTCTGTCCGGTTATCTCGCCTGCAGGATTCTCTTTCCGTTCGTATTTCTGATGTTTCTCCTCGTGTTGTTCCTTCTTTGCCCCCGTGGAGGGTCCCTCTTCCGCGGTTTTGTACATCCTTGACTCGTATCACTAAAGCTTTTACCCCTCCTACGGTTCTAAAACGCCTTTTCCTCGAGCACTTTTCTTCTCACTCCCGCTCCGTTTCTGTCTTCACCGATGGGTCTAAGTCAGCGGACGGTGTTGGCTACTCTGTTGTTTTTCCTGATCGCACTTATATGTGTCGCTTGCCTCCGGAGACTAGCATCTTTACAGCGGAACTTTATGCTATTCTCTATGCTCTTCGTCTCCTGCTTTCTCGTTGTCAGTCTTCCTTTGTGGTTGTTGTTGACTCTCGTAGTGCCCTCATGGCTCTCGGGTGCTTTAATCCAGTTCATCCAGTAGTTGTCGAGATCCAGCATTGGCTGTTTCTCGTTCACAGTAAATTTAAGTCGGTTGAGTTTTGTTGGGTTCCCAGCCATATTGGCGTGTCTTTAAATGAGCGTGCGGATGCTGCCGCTAAGGAAGCTGTCCGCTCTTGTCCCATCTCTCGTAAAGGCATTCCGTATTCCGACTTTTACCCGGTTATCCATTCCTCAGTCCTTACCCGTTGGCAGGCTTCTTGGTTGTCTGTTACTGGTAACAAGCTACGTACTCTTAAATGTTGTGTTTCCTCGTGGCCGTCCTCCTTCCACCGTAACCGGCGGTGGGAAACAGCTCTGGCGAGGTTGCGTATTGGCCATACTCGCTTAACCCATGGTCACTTGATGGAGCGCCGCCCTGCTCCTTATTGTCCTAGTTGCATTGTCCCTCTTACGGTCGTGCATGTCCTTCTTGAATGTCCTGACTTCCAGGACGAGCGTGTGTCTTGCTTTCCGACCGCCCCTCGCGGTCACCTGTCCCTCGATAGAATTCTTGGTGACTCGGATACTTTTGATATCGTTCGCCTTATGCGTTTTTGTTCTCGTATTGGCATCCTTGGTGATATTTAGCGCCCTCTGATTATTTTGCGTATTTGATGGTGCTACATAGCCTTCCCGGTTTGGTGCCTTCTTTTGATAATTACTTACTTTGCCCCCGTGGAGGGTCCCTCTTCCGCGGTTTTGTACTTCCTTGACTCGTATCACTAAAGCTTTTACCCCTCCTACGGTTCTCAAACGCCTTTTCCTCGAGCACTTTTCTTCTCACTCCCACTCCGTTTCTGTCTTCACCGATGGGTCTAAGTCAGCGGACGGTGTTGGCTACTCTGTTGTTTTTCCTGATCGCACTTATATGTGTCGCTTGCCTCCGGAGACTAGCATCTTTACAGCGGAACTTTATGCTATTCTCTATGCTCTTCGTCTCCTGCTTTCTCGTTGTCAGTCTTCCTTTGTGGTTGTTGTTGACTCTCGTAGTGCCCTCATGGCTCTCGGGTCCTTTAATCCGGTTCATCCAGTAGTTGTCGAGATCCAGCATTGGCTGTTTCTCGTTCACAGTAAATTTAAGTCGGTTGAGTTTTGTTGGGTTCCCAGCCATATTGGTGTGTCTTTAAATGAGCGTGCGGATGCTGCCGCTAAGGAAGCTGTCCGCTCTTGTCCCATCTCTCGTAAAGGCATTCCGTATTCCGACTTTTACCCGGTTATCCATTCCTCAGTCCTTACCCGTTGGCAGGCTTCTTGGTTGTCTGTTACTGGTAACAAGCTACGTACTCTTAAATGTTGTGTTTCCTCGTGGCCGTCCTCCTTCCACCGTAACCGGTGGTGGGAAACAGCTCTGGCGAGGTTGCGTATTGGCCATACTCGCTTAACCCATGGTCACTTGATGGAGCGCCGCCCTGCTCCTTATTGTCCTAGTTGCATTGTCCCTCTTACGGTCGTGCATGTCCTGACTTCCAGGACGAGCGTGTGTCTTGCTTTCCGACCGCCCCTCGCGGTCACCTGTCCCTCGATAGAATTCTTGGTGACTCGGATACTTTTGATATCGTTCGCCTTATGCGTTTTTGTTCTCGTATTGGCATCCTTGGTGATATTTAGCGCCCTCTGATTATTTTGCGTATTTGATGGTGCTACATAGCCTTCCCGGTTTGGTGCCTTCTTTTGATAATTACTTACTTAACTAGCAATGTGGTAGGCAGGAATAGGCATTGGGTGTATTAAGAAATCCATACCGTTTGCACTCTCCTGCTACCAGTCGAACACCTTTTAGAATGACCTGATTTATACCTTTGACACCACTTGTAGTTTTGCTTGTGTTGACATTCTGAATGATAGCAGTTATAATATTACAAAATTCCTAACTAAATATCTTCCAGGCTTGGCACCTTTTGGTTATTACATTTTCCTTGAATAATGCACTGAGTTCTGGACACATTTCATGGAAAATATTTGAACCCACAAAATACTTTTTGTTCAAAATTCCTTTAGTCGAGTGTTATTTTTAGAAGTAGAGCAACAAAAATGGATCTCATGACCTTGGAGCCGGTGACATTATTGAACATATATTGAATATATATTAGTGACAAATTGTCAAATAACGGTTACAATATTGCACTAGATGATCAATACGTGAAGATTATCACAATTTTAGTGTTTGACACTACAGAACTTCCTCAAATGTGTTTCCAATATGGGGTACAGAGGTAAGTACTTATCAAAAGAAGGCACCAAGCTGGGAAGACTATGTAGCTATGGGCACCCGGGCGCCGGTGAGAAACAATGGGCACCCGGGCGCCGGTGAGAAACAATGGGCAATAGGTATGCCCCTGTTACCTAGCAGTAAAATAGGTACCTGGGTGTTAGTCAGTCAGCTGTCACAGGCTGCTTCCTGGGGGTGGAGGACCGGGTCGCAGGGAGACTAAAGCCCCGAAATCATCTCGAGATAACCTCAAGATTGGGGGTATGAAGTTGTACCTCGGGGCAGTATAATATTTGTTCCCACCTCTGGTTGTCCTGAATGGCCCTCTCACATCTGGAGTTTATTCATCACTGTGTTAATAATATCACTACTGTTTTTACTGGTACAGTACTGTAATGGTTGCTCTTTTCTTCCGTACCAATTCTAGCTTGTGATCAAATGTGTCGTCCTAGGTTACCTGGAGCAGCTTCAAGTTCAATGCGGTGAAAACCTGTGCTATGATTTCTACCAATTGCCCCTGACCCTAGTGTTGAAGTAGACTTGTACAAATATCATGCAAAACTATTGGGGGTGATCTTTCACTTGCCCCCATCTTGATAATGAAATGGGGTGTGGATAGGCTTCATAGTGTGGGAGGGGAAGGTTTTCATTCTTTCCCAAGCCAGAACTAATATAGTACGTAGAAACTGATGATGTGTCATTACAAGGAAGGGATATTTGACATTACTATATATTATTATAATATATTACCTTGATATGTTGTGTGGATTACAAAGCCCTAATTCATGTGTGTACTGCACCTTAACCAATACCTGCATTGAAAAACTGCTACCTTCTCTCTGCAGTTTTATTATATGGATTGCCTGCTTGAAGGCTTCTCTCGGTGTGTCCACCGAATGTTCCCCTTCGTACTGTGCTCACCTTATTCCTGGGGAAAGAGTCGTGCCTGCTATATTTTTGTACCTAATCTGTACAGTCGAAGGCTTACAACCCTTGTATGTTGAAATGCCTTTTCCTTGAATATCTTTTACTGCTGTTTACAAATGAGTCAAAGTTTGCTGCTGGTGTTGACTTCTAATCTTATTTTTCATCACTAAACCTTATTCAATGCCTAGTAGTAGTGTAGTGTTGAACTCTAATGTATTCAGGGCAATTTCCAAAGTAACATCTTTGCTCTTGAGTAAGAACTTGAGCAAGCCACACCATGCCAAAGAGGCCAGAAAGCAAGCCTAATGAAATTTGTGGATAGGCGAGTCCAGTCCCCAAACAGGGACTCAGAAGTGTACCTTTGTACCTTTGGGAGAGAAGTGCAGCATCCAGCTCAAATTAAAATTGAGGGTTTTGAGCATGTGCTGAAATTTTGACTAACGAGCACAAAAGTAGGGCAATACCATGATACATTGGTACATTGGTACACTTCTAAAAACACTTGGCAAGAGTTCATGTATTACATGATGTTACAATATTCATATTTATGAAATTAATTGAATAACTGCATGTAATTGCTGTAGAAGGGCAGAAAATCCAAGTGAAACATTTGCATCTGTGCTTCAGCATATTTAATGTACAGTACACTTTCAAAAGACATTGAATACTGAATTAGAAATTCAAGGTGTTCTCAGTTTGAATAATATTGCAACCTGTTCTCACAATAAATGCATACAGAATACAATATTTTTGTAGACAAGGGGGAGACATGTACAAAACTTAAGACAATGATCAATATGCATAATCAAAGCATATATGCAAACGGCTCTGATCACTATCTGCAAATTACCTCCTGCGCTTGAATCAGCAAAGGAGTTTTTATTTAGTTTTTGTCATCTGAACCACAATGTAGAACTTTTAATTAGAGATGTTTAAGGGTTATACCAAAGGGAGTGGACTATGATTAAGGGTTAAACATGATACCAAAGGGAGTGGACTATGATTAAGGGTTAAACATGATACCAAAGGGAGTGGACTATGATTAAGGGTTAAACATGATACCAAAGGGAGTGGACTATGATTAAGGGTTAAACATGATACCAAAGGGAGTGGACTATGATTAAGGGTTAAACATGATACCAAAGGGAGTGGACTATGATTAAGGGATTTGCTAGGTCCATACAGTATATTAATTTTACATAAAGCTGGATGCTGATGATCATGAGAACAGACTGCATCTTGAATTAAATACACACTAGCTATGCTGCTTGCTTTCAGATGGGTAATTATGCTACATAGAAGTATTAGGCAAACTTTTGCAATCAATTTACAAAACAAATAATTGCACACATTAACAAAAATATTAAAAAGTAAAGTAGTATTTCTTGCTGTATGGTTTCCTTGACTTAAAACTAAAAAAAAAACATTGCCACATATATACACAATGCAGTTGTTTACCATATTATTTGATCACCCAATTTGGGTGCTGTGTTTTGCCTTAAATAAAAAATTGCATAAAGGTTAACAAATAAAAATATGGGTACTCTACCTTACACAGTGCAAAAAGTGACGCTTTACAAAAGATGTCCAGTGCCGTACAAGCTGAGAAGTTGGTTTAAAGCTCTTATCTTAAGAGAGTATATTCTCCAAAACCTTTTATTACACTCAAACAGTACACCGCTTGGTCACAAAAATAAAAATGGTGCAATAAGTGCACAAAAGATACAGGTTTGGGGAACTTGTTGCCCATGACATGTCTAGAATCTTGACTGCATAGTTATAGTTTGTTCAGTACTTAATACAACAATTATGTATTCTCAAAACTTATTCCCCAAATATTTTAACTTTCTTAACCTTTTAAATTTAAATTAATGAGGTAAGGTAATTACGAGGACAAAATGCTAAGCCACTGTGACTATATAGCACTTGGAACGGATACGAGGACAAGGAGCTGGGATGGGACAGAGAGAAGGAATGGAACCCAGCCACTTGGACCGTCTGGGATCGAATGACGACCTGCAAGAAGCAAGACTTTGCTGTACCAATGAGTCAAATTCCTTAATAATTACTTTGATTTTTCTTAGTCCCAATTTTCACTGAGAATGTTTATTTTACAATTCATAAAATCATCTACATGTGGCAATCATGTCCACTATTTTCAAATCCTCTTACTTATGTAACTATGTAATTGAAGTACAGTACTGTAATTTCTTTGATCACAGCAGTGAAGCGCTCATGAAAAAGGTTTACCGATAGTATATGATACAGTAATGTGAAAACTGTTATTCAACTTAATACCACACATATTTTGTAATTACTAACTAGTAAAAATGACTAGGAATATAATAATGTGTTGAAATGTGGAATAATTAAAGAATCATTTTTATGTTTAAGGTGGGGAAGGGAAGCCAACATTGGAATGCTTTCTCTTTACCGCTACTGCGTACACCCAGAAAAAGAAGACATTTTATATTACAAATTAATCTCCGTAATCTTCCGTATATGCATAATACAGTTGAACATTGAATTTACGAGATCATAACTCGTTAAAGTAACTAGACAGTAAATGCTTGAGCCTACACAGTTTAATAAACTTATAAACATTGTTGTTAAACACAAAAATGTATTAATTCTTGTAAAAATAATGTAGAAGAATTTGGAGCATGTGGCACCTCTGTATCCAACAATTTTTATTCAAAATATTAAAATTGAGACCATTCTTCATATTTTTCTTTATTCGCCCATATTTATTTCATATTTTCTATGAAACCCTTAGACAGTGGTTATCGTCAATTGTTGGTTCACAGGGTACTGCGGTTACAATCATATGAACATTAAATAATTATTGTCTGGGTTTTACATGTATGATGCAAATAATAGGTCTATGTGGATGTAATGGAGTTTACCTTGACCCTTGAAAAAAGTCCTGCTACCATTTCATGGTACAAATGTGGTTATCTTCACGAATGATGGTTTAAATAATGAATTATTGTCTGGGTTTTTCACGTATGATACAAATATGGACATAAAAGCTCACCATGGATGTAAATAAAGAAAAACACTTGAAAGAACAATCAGTGAAATATCAGAAGATAATCAAAGAAGCGTCCACGTAGTTGAGCACTACACGTTGACACGTGCCAGGCTCAGCCTCGCACAGCGCCTCCACCCAGTGAAACAATAAATATTCCCTTAATTGTGTTTTCTTACATTCTGCATACAAATTAATAATTCTATAATAAAAACTATTTGTTGGAATTGTTTTTTTTTTAAATTTTGTGCATAGGCAGGCATGACCATTTCTCTATGGCTGTGTCTAAGGGTTAATGAAAATAACAGACTCTGTTATCAACTGATGGACTTTGTCAACAACACTGAAAAACCTAATCAAATTTAGTCAATCATCACCACCACCACTATCCTATATCTCTCATTGATAGGGCACGGATGCTTCAGCCCAGAAAATATAGAAAATAAAAAAATAAACAATGGAGACACGTCTACCATTCACCACGTACACACTGCAGCATCACGTACCACTAGCATCGTCACACCCCGACAATACAGCCACAGCAGCGCCCCACTACTTCATACAACTAGAAAATTTGGACACGTCAATTTTACCAGTTACTAGTGATTACCAGTTCCCCCAATTTAAAATGAAAGCATAGTAAAGTACCAGACCAAACATTATTCTGCTACAGTACCATAAATAATACTAGACAGCACTAGTATTATATGTTCTCTGTTAATAAAACTGAGGTCTTCTAAAGACTTACTGGTACACAGAATAACATTTTACTACTAAAATAAAAAAAACAAATTGGAAAAATATAATACGTGGGTATGCCTACAGCAAGACTGACTGGTGAACTGAGGCAAGGGGTTCGCAGAAATGCCCCGTTCTGCATGACCAAGGTGTATCACCACTGCCAAATGTTTTTCAGACCATCAAGAGGGTTTTGATCTATTACAAGCCATCCTTTCAAGGTTCCAGTGTTCTGTATATAATATTTTTTGTTTAAGTTTTCAAGAAACTCAACATTAAATAGATCAACCATCATATGTTGTGTACTGTATTTACAAGAGAAGAATCTGAAATCAACCCATGGGCTAAAGGCTCCCCATGCCTAATAATAATAATAATAATAAAAATAATAAAAAAAATGTGTCACTACTGACAGAAGCCTAATTTATTTAATTTATTTTTATTTGTTATTTGTAGACATCAGAACACAAGCACAAAGTACTTTTTTGTTAAGAGTACAGTTGTTACACAAAACTGAGGGTTTTGTGTCCATTTGACATCTAATTGACTAAGAGTAAGGCGCATTAACTCTGCTAACCACATAAACGTACGGGGCACTGTTTTAGTCCGGCACAAAATATCCTAATACACAAAGACTCACACACATACCCTGCCATAACACTAAACATTTTACCTCCTCATTCAATTACATCTTCAGTTCAGTAGATCATTACACATTAAAACTTTGCAAGACATGTTTATGCAGAAAAAGTAATGAAATAACCATTGCCTGCAACAATTCTTCTTTTCCATATAACCAATGATTCCTTATAACCATATAGCCACACAAATTAAGTATCTTGCTTTTAAACATTCAGACCATTATATTCTTAAGAAAATACTAGATAAATAAATGACTAGCTTTTAGGATTTTGGTTGAAACTGATGTTGTAGCCTCCAGTACTCGAATCCTGTTTGAGTTCAAAATTTGATGTTGACAGTCCAAACGGTCGAAGAAACACATTTCCTAGATCCTTCAGTTTACCTGTGGACAAAACAAATGCTGTACATGAGAATTTAACTACAGTATATAGTTTTGTCACCGAGAAAAAATCCACAGGCCAGCATATCTCTCAATACAAACAGTGTAGTTAAATGAGTGCTAAGAGTACAGTGGTGTAATTAATACAAGGAGGTGAAACGAGCACATCTTGAGGCAATGTCCATTGAAAATGTAATAAGGGGAAGAATGGGAGGTGGTTAATTTTGTAGTGGTCATGGTGGTAGCTGCTGTGGTTATGGTGACGAGAAGTGGCGGGTGGTGGCTGCAGTGCTCATAGTGATGAGAAGTGGCGGAGGTACAGTAGCTGCAGTGGTTATGGTGACGAGAAGTGGCGGGTGGTGGCTCTCTCTTTAATCAAGATAGTTTGCTTTGCTTTCCCTGTACTTTCTGGGTGGTTTTGCTTAGTTTTGAAGTTGATAATGCAAATTATTGGGTATTAAATTTGGCTTCCACAATGATGATTAAATTTTCAGATTTTCTTCCGTGTTTGGAGAAAAGTGACCATTAATAATTTTGGAAATGATAACCAGCTATTCAGACAAAGGACTTTTGGTAGATGCAGTTTACATGAACTTTGCTAAAGCTTTTGATAAGATACCACACAAAAGACTAGCAAGGAAATTATAAGCACATGCAATAAATGGTAGAACACTAGAATGGATAAAACAGTGGTTAAAACAAAGTAAGCAAAGGGGTCTTCCTAAATGGAAATGAATCTGACTGGAGAAATGGGGTACCACAAGGGTACATTTTGGATCCAACCCTTTTTATCATACACACACACATCAATGACATAGATGAGAACATTACAAACCGCAGTACTGAATTTGCAGATAACACTGAAGATTTATGGTAATGTGGGAAGTGAAACTAATATTGAAGCCTAACAGAGAGGCGCCCAATAGGTAAGGCACATCTTGAAGAAAACTATCAAATTTTATCTTAAAGATGTCCACTTTTATTCCAAAAATATTTCTTATACTCGCTGGGAGGACGTTGAACATCCACAGACCTCTGATGTTCATACAGTGCAGGCTACCAAAACATCAACTCGAGAAGTGTATTGTGTTTATCGAACTTTAGGAGATGAAAACAACACACACACACTATAATTAATTGTTACTTGCACCCAGTTTAGTTATTAAGGTGTAAGAGACGGGAGCCAGTCGGCCGAGCGGACAGCACGCTGGACTTGTGATCCTGAGGTCCTGGGTTTGATCCCAGGCGCCGGCGAGAAACAATGGGCAGAGTTTCTTTCACCCTATGCCCCTGTTACCTAGCAGTAAAATAGGTACCTGGGTGTTAGTCAGCTGTCACGGGCTGCTTCCTGGGGGTGGAGGCCTGGTCGAGGACCGGGCCGCGGGGACACTAAAGCCCCGAAATCATCTCAAGATAACCTCAAGATGACTATACACATTAAATAAAAGAGTGTAAGATTGTGTAATAGAATTGAATTGGACCACACAACTACCTGCATTGACTGACACCTTTACTACAACAAACTACTCACTACTTTGCCACTGGTCTGCACCACAGTCATCTCCATGCATTATTGAATGCTCCAACCTATTAACAGAGATAAAGAAGTTTGGCATTCAATTATACCAGATTGAGCACTCCGGATGTGCATATCAACAAAATAATAGGAAAGGTAGCTTGGTGAGGGTATCGGAGAACTAGACCCATTTTCTTGTTGTTTGCCATTGCTTTTAATCCCCTTTTTCTTGTAGATTCGTTAAACCACTGACCACCGAGCCCGCCCACAGTAACCATGAGATTATTATTTTACTAATCAACAATAGTTAAACTAAAATAAAGAAACTTCAACAGTATTTTACCGTAATTGGATAAATTCAGTGATATGATGCAATAAAGTAAATTAACTCAGTGATAGAAAATTTAATAAATAATCCTTATTAATAAACAATTATTATTTAAAATATAGGCTAGGCAAGCCTTCAATAATTTATTTATCAGTGTTTACTGCATCAATATTATTTAATCTTTATTGTAAAATTTCAATGTAGTATTGCCGGCAGGTTTGCGAGAGCAGCACTCGTCCTGTCAAGACCACGCTTATTCCATACCCTTAAGCAGGCCAAGGAGAGCATCTGCACTGCCATACATATACACCAGTTGATTGACAGTTGAGAGGCGGGACCAAAGAGCCAGAGCTCAACCCCCGCAAACACAACTAGGTGAGTACATGCTCACAACTAAGCCATTTTCTTTTTTATGCTGTAATTTTATTTAATGTAAATATTTAAATTATGCAAGTGATGAATCACAATAGAAACACAATAGAAGGCTTGAGAAATAATGACCAAACCACAACTCCTAAGAGGGAAGAATGATGATGTGTCAGATCTGTCCTGGACCATTATCAAGTCGTGTCAAGTCATGACACGGCTTTATTTTTATGGTCCAGGATGGACTGAAACATTGTCGTTTCTCCATCTTCTGAGTTGTGGTTTGGTCATCATTTAAAATATATATAACCTCCTCCTCCTCCGCCTAGTAAAGCCATTAATCTGAAGAAGTGTTACTATCTAAATTACAACAAGTGTGTTCGGCACATGAATGTACTGAAAGAAGAGATGTGGATATCCACATCTCAGAAGAGATGTGGATATATATATATGGTATCCAGATGTGGATACCATCTGTATCCACAACTTCAAGAACAATTATGATGTGCAATTTGAATAGTAGGAGATTTATGAATAGGTTCAGTATTTAAATTAATTATACTGTACTCTCTAACACTTGTATACAGTGCAGACGACGAGTCACAATAACGTGGCTAAAGTATGTTGTCCAGACCACACACTAGAAGGTGAAGGGACGACAACGTTTCGGTCCGTCCTGGACCATCCTCAAGACAATCGACTTGAGAATGGTCCAGGACGGACCAAAACGTCGTCGTCCCTTCACCTTCTAGTGTGTGGTCTTGTATACAGTACCTCATACACTCTGCATCACACTGCACTCTACCACCACCACCACCAACTTCTCTTCCACCACAGGTTCCACATACAACATTGTGTACAGAAGTAACAAATTTTAATCGTCAGTTCACTACTATTTCTTACAAGCATGCAATGCAAGTGTATAAATATAGTAAAGTATCCAGTACTATGCATTTTTCAGTAACTGACAAAACATTATAAATTATTTCTTGAAAGTTTAATGTACAGTATAGATAATATGACAGTTTTATTTTGTGAGATATGCGTGGCACAGAGATTGGGACTACTTCCCTTGATTGGCACCTATAAAAAAAAATACCTACCAGTAATTAAATATTGTACCTGAACCTTCTTATATTCCTGGGCATTTTCCCGCCTCTCTGTGTTTGCTAATACAGTTCACGTGTTCTTCAGGCTCTGCTGAAATCTTTACATGCACAGTGGTGACTGATTTCTTTTTGAATATCTGGGAGCCTAAACAGCAGGTGAAATTCTTTAACAAATAATTGAAGAACTTTTAAAGTGAACTTCCAAGTGTAAATTAATTAACACTTGGAAGTACCGTACTACATGGAAAGTTGGGTTATTTTTTATACAATATCCCACAAATTTTCAACATCATCAAATGAAGTGTGTGTGTTGTTCACAGAGAATACAAATAATTAATATCCAGTATATAAGAAAGTAATTATCAAAATAAGGCACCAAGTTGGGAAGACTACGTAGCTATACAGTACATAAAGACTAGAATACTACAATCAAAAAAAGAGTTTAGTATACATCACCTACTGACCACTGGGTAAAGACCTACCGAGTGAAAGTAAACTGACAGAGTAATCAAAGAGGAAAGACAGGTATGTAAGCTGGATCCAAAGCAAAAGGTAACATATAATTTATCGATGCATATGCAGTATTATAAGAATGAAGAGTGAGGCTTCAATTCGTAATCTCACTGAAAAAGTTGAGCAATACCCTATTCGTAAAACGAGTTTTATAATGAATATTCCACATGTTAAATCATCAATAAGTATAGAAATTACTGTATAGAAATTAGAGGTAATCTTGAGAGGCTTCCAAGAGCATAGCTGTATACAACTAGGAATACAACAACAGTGTAACTTACCTAACATCTCCTCCTTGAGCTTCTCGTTCCTCTCTGTGATCATATCGGGTAATCTCTGAAAATGATGGTTCCGTGCATTAGTTAAAAGTACACATTGCATCATCAGAATTTCTTGAATAGTTATTTAAATAAAAATAAGATTTTTTTTTCTTAAGAAAATATAAGCAAAGAATGTCACCAAAACAATTTCTCCCTGGGTTGTAAATGGTCAGATACTTCTCACATAAAAGTCCTGCATTGAACTAGATTATCCACTTGCTATGCAGTGAAGCGCATCTTGAGGTTATCTTTTTGAGATGATTTCGGGGCTCAGTGTCCCTGCGGCCCGGTCCTCGACCAGGCCTCCTTTTTGTTACACACACCCCCAGGAAGCAACCTGTATTAGCTGTCTAACTCCCAGGTACCTATTTACTGCTAAGTAACGGGGAAATCAGGGCGAAAGAATCACTCCCATTTGTTTCCGCCTCCACCGGGGATCGAACCCGGAACCTCAGTACAGTACTACGAATCCGAAGCATTGTCCAATCAGCTGTCAGGCCCCTCTGACAGCTGCATGCCAATACTTTAGACAGGTCTAGCCAGCAACTGAATGGGTGACCACACTAGCAGCCTAACCCTTGAACAAGGTAACTTCTATATGCCAAAAAAGGCTTCCTGTCTCAATAATGGTATATCATACCATGAAAAGGAGGAAAATGTGCTAAGTGACATCAGGTTTGGAATGGACTTTACTGAAGAGAATATTTTACCTGTCCGGATTTTATTATATCTAAAATGAGATACAAAGATCTAGGTGCTTACATTGATATGCAACATGCATTGGTTATACCGATTCTGAGATACTTGGCTTCTGTGTCTGGGGAACGGAAAGAGGTCGATTGCGGTGCTGGTAAACAATTTATCAACAATAACACACCTTTTTAGATGTCTACCCTTACACCTTCCTTCAGTATAAGGACCATACATCACATATAACATAAACTATTGAAAATTGAAAAGAAAACTTATTTTAGCAAGAAGCCACCACCGAATCATGGCAAAATAAATGTTGTAATATGTATTGTAACAGGTTTCTGCAAGATGCTTTTCATATTTCATTATGCTTTTCAAGTATCTTTGATGAGTTCTTGGTGCCCGTGTTAAAAGACCAGTGACCATCCAAAGTCTGGCAACTTTACCCTAAATAGGGTTAATTGTACAGCATTAAACAGTTAAGAAATATGAGGAATTTGTATTTTTGTGACTACTGTACTAGATTCAAAGGTAATATTAATTTACATACTTTAGTATGTAAATGGGATGGCTCTAAAATACACGCTCTCCAAATTTAAGAGAGATATTTTCAACATTTCTTGAAATGAATTAAATAAAATCATGCATTAATTGAAGTCTCAATAGCTAATACTGTTGCTACCCCAGGATCCAGTCCTCTTATCCTTCTCTTGACCCCCCAAACCATGTCACTTCTATTCCCAAGAGGTACACGACTGCTGATGCATCCCACAGGTACACCATGAGCAAGCTAAGTTTCATGAATTTTTTAACAATAGTTTACATTTTGGGGAAGTTCATTTAGCAATTATGACATGTTAATATTTATTATAACCAGCAGTGGTCTGTTTTATTTCACCGGCTTTGTGGTTGTTTCCCCCGATGGTGGTGGAGGATTAAAAATTCAAATTCATAGTGCACCTGCTCTCGGTACTGCATTAGAGGGGGCCAGGTTCTGGCTCATGGTCCCCGGTAGGCTTAAAAGAACTCTTGTGACTGATGAGTAGTTTGGTACTAGATCGGCATTGTTGCTTCAGGGAGTCACAAGGGTAAAGCACCAGTCACCCCAGTAAGAGATACCCCAGTAAAACTAATACTTTTTGCTGTACTGTATTACCACTCCATATACTGTACCGTACGTATGTAACAGTATATACAAGTTCTATATAACAAATACATACTGTCCTGACTCAATGCATTATATTGCAGGTTAATTACTATACAGCATTCTTAATATTATACTCACTCTAACAGCCTCGTGTGATTCTTTATTAACGGGATCTAATTCTAAGACACGCTGGAAGTCCTTTAATGCCTCGTCTAAATTTCCAGTTTCTTCGTTGAGTGTTGCACGTCTCATCACAGCCTTTGTGTAAACACTGTCAAGTTCTATTGCTTTACTGCAATCACTAATGGCCTTCTTTTTCAGATTCTGTGAATATAACAATATTTGTTTAATGTCTTAAAACTTGAAATATTACAAATAAACAGACACTAATTCACAATAATATGGCAGAAAGTTCAACACTAAACCAATATATGTATCTGGATAGAAACTCCCTATATCATTTACACCTAAAATGCACACACTAATTCCATTAATATTTTATTTACAACATTATGGAAAACAATTATTTTCTGTACAGTTTCTTAATAGCACATATTATACTCAGATCCACAGGCAGGCCGAGCCTATGAACCGTCCAATGATTTGAAACTGTTGAAACTATGTTTCATAGGCATGCTGCCCACCAGCAACAATGCCTGCACTTCACACACACATACACACGACATATGACATATATATAGCTCTCATCCTGTAATTACACTTAAGTAATTACATACACTTCCATTATCTGTCCAATTTGGCCTTCATCTCCTCCAACAAAAGTATCACAAGTATACTCTCTTCAACACTATCATCTTTTCATTCAGTATGACCAAACCTTTTCAAAACACTTTCCTCAGTTTTACCATTTGCTGACTTTTCCCCCCAACATATTTTCACGACATTTCTATTCACTACTCTGTATTCCTGACACCACAAATGAATTTCATAGTCAAATTCTTTTATTAACTATTCTTTCATGCTAGTGACACACACCAGCGTCTGGCATTTGTACTCAAGGGATGACAATCCTTCATATAGTGCTCTAATTGTCGATTTTTTCCATCTAATTCAATGTAACCAGAAAGTTCATTAAACTAGATACTTTTCCGATTTACTTGACTCACACCTTCTCCAGTACAAATGCCTCCTTAGCCAGTTACAAAAACTCAAAGATTCAATCACAGGGTGTAACGAGTACAGGGAGTGCAATTATTATAGATGTCATGAGTACAGGGACGCAAGCAAGATGATTACAGGGAATGCAGGAATAAAGTGATGGTGAGGAATATGAAGAGCAGGTAGAGGCTTCCTTGGGAGTGGAGGGAGTGTAGAAGAAGTAGAGGTGAAAGGAGGAGGACGAAGTGGAGGTGAATGGAGGAGGTTATCTTGAGATGATTTCGGGGCTTTAGTGTCCCCGCGGCCCGGTCCTCGACCAGGCCTCCACCCCCAGGAAGCAGCCCGTGACAGCTGACTAACACCTAAGTACCTATTTTACTGCTAGGTAACAGGGGCATAGGGTGAAAGGAGGAGGAGAAGAAAGTGGAGGTGAATGGAGTAGGAGGAGGCTGCGGCTGTGGTGGGATGGTGGGGCAGGTGGGGATTATAAACTATAATCCCCAAACTACCGAATAGGGTTTGGGCATTACAAGGGATACCTGGCAAAGCTATCTAACTACAGAAATGATGCTGTACAATATTTACTAACCAATCTGGCCTTTGCTGCTGCTCTGTTAGAATAAAGTATAGCACGATCTCTAGGGTATGCCAGAGGGCATATTCTGAGTCCTGCAGTGTAAGAGGTCAGTGCTTCTTGGAACTGCCCAGCCTTGAACTTGATATTACCACTTTCTTTATGAGTCTGGCTTTCCTCCCTCTTAGCCTAATAGGAGAAAATATATTCAAATTAATATTTACAAATACTGTAAAGGAATATTGTACTATATCTACACATGTCTACATTAGCAAATGTCATGTGAAGTAATTTCAAAGACATGAGGCCAGCCAGACAGAAGGTAATGTAAATCACACAGTGAAACAACACTGTTTATTCTTGTAATAGGTTATAGAGATGGTAGAAGAATTGAAAACATGACTAGCCACACGTGGGGCACTGGGCTCAGAGGTCAGTTGCTGCAGTGACTTGTAAACATTGGTATTCTGAGGAGGCTTCTTGAGAAGCAGACCTCCTAGAGGTAGAGTTAGGGACTGGAGAAAGAAAGAGATTTATTGCCTGTCTCTACTTCCTCATCACAATCAACTTGAGAATGGTCCAGGACGGACCGAAACGTCGTCGTCCCTTCACCTTCTAGTGTGTGGTCTGGTCAACATCAAAGAGATGAAAGATGTTCTAATAGTGCAGGCCCCAACACCAAGTTAATTGAGAATCAAGCCAACCTTAATTTATTTCAGGTGAGTCAGTTGGGCAAGCTCCAGCAGGAAGAGCCATATAATAAGTTGGGTTGTGATGAATATGTGGGCCACTGCCAGCAACAGCTTTTGATTATGATTTTTCATTATTTTGACGGAAGACAAAACAATGGAAACCCGTGCCGCGGGAGGAAAATCAGTGCCACAAATAGGGATCTGGAATGAACTTGTAGAGGAATAGAGATGGTGTCCAGCTTGTACCAGGAGGAAATACCCATCAGGGCCAGTAACTAAACTTTAAAAAGTCAAAAGGAACCTATAGATCCTACTCCAACAATTAAAATACTACATGTGTAAAGGAAGAAATGTATACTTTTGTAGAACAGCCACATCTCTCAGAATGTTTGGTAATATGTTTATTGTTTGTGATGTGTCTATATACGTATGAACACGTTGTAATGATCGGGGTGAGAATAGCTCGAGCTACCTCATCCCTTTGTGTGTATTTTACCTCAATAAACTTATTTCAATTTCAATTTCACTCCAGCAATCACAATGGTTAGTGAACATCTCCAACAAAGGCTTCAGTCTTAACAGAGGGAACATATAGGGTGACAACCTAGGAAGCCCCTGAACCCCAGGAAGCCGAAACCCAAGGCCCATCTGGAAAAAGAAGGGAATCAAAGAGAGTAGGCCCCCTAGCCTCTCTCATATTCCCATAGGGGGCAACCCTCATGATGGTACTTACATCAGCCTCAAAGCTGTCAGAACCAGGAATCTACCTCAGGATAGGTTTCACTCAGTGAGTGAAACTACTAACATCCCCAAAGACATAGTCACCAAATACCTAATAATATAGTGTAATGCACAGCTGGCAATTGACTGAGAAATGGGCAAAGGAAACACAAACACTTGTTAAACACGTGAGAAGCATTTTTCTATCTTAAATGATGAAGCAGCTGACAGATGAATGAGCAAAATGTCAATGTTGATGAGGACATGGTGGCACCAGCTGGCCCGCAACTCAAAACAGTTCAATAGCCAGAATTGACAAAGGAGTCTGAAATGCCCAGAAACAGCAGAGGAAGCTGGTTAATACACACCACTAATGTCAAAAGATGAGATGCCCAATTAACTTCCTTATAAAATAGAGGGGAACTGGTGTCTAATACCCACTGTAAATAGCAGCAAAAGCTAACATCATAAAGTCTGGTCCCAGAAACACTCACAACCCAGACAGAAACAGTGCAAGGTGGCGGCTTTGTCAAAATTAATATCCAATCAATAAACAGGCCACACCTGTGGGTGAAAGGACCCCTGAACCCAGCAGGTTACATTATAATAAATCCCACAAGATTTCAACCAAGTCAACATGCAGGCCTTTAGGCTTGTTGGGTGTAGTGGAAGCATCTTGGCAAAAGAAACAGAGTCCAACCTCGAACGCTCAACTAGTGAGAGGTGTATGCAGCCACAAGTCACAAAAACAAAACTTGCATGACCTAAAAGTGTACTCAACTAAAGTGCAATGCCCCTAACATACACACAAGCAGAGCAATGCAATTTGCAGGTCTTTAATGTGCACAAGTACATCGTCTGAAGATTCTCTCTTCTCATCAATAAGCGTTGCAGAGGAGAACAAGCTGTATGCACTACCTGGAAGCGAGTTGGCACAAGAGTCAGCCCATACAGGAGGATGCTCATAACCTCTCAGAGCAGTAATATACCACTAGACTAGTCCCAGTAATGAGAGATATGAATTACAAGGAGGGCTAAAAGTACCACATAAAACATTCTCAGGGAAATATATAGAACAGCAAACGACAAATTATGTGCATTGGGTGGTGCATGAACAAAGTAATGATACAAAATTAAGCACTATACTCAAATGAACCAAATGTACAGACACAATAAAAAAATATCTACAATGTTAGAATAGTGAACAAGTGTAATGTACTGAGAAGTGGTAGAAGTAGGCTCCATACACAGTTTAAAATGTAAATATGACCGAGTCCAATAGACTAGGTTGAGAAGGTTGCTTTAAGGTTGAGAAGCTAGACAAAAGAGCTAAAGCTCAACCCCCCTATAGCAAAATCAGGCAAATTAGGCAAACTCAGTCTGGAAGAATGGTGGTGGAAGGTTAGGCATTTTAGACAAGCTTGGTGCTGCTACTGGGTGGGGAGTGACTGGTTTGGCCAACTGGGCATTCAAATAATTTTTAAGCCTCTCTTGGTTGTCACATGTGATATTTAGAAAGGATTTGTTAGGGTGAGGAATTTTTATGCACGTACATCTGATAAGTCATTCAGGACTGGGTTGAGCTTCTCTCCGGTGTCTCTTCTAGCACACCTTTTATGACCCTACTGGAACATTTGAAAAAAAAGAGCCCTGCAGTGCATGGGATCAGACAACTGACTGTTTATAAATCTTGTTTATGGCACAAGTGATTCTCATACTACGAAGCAACTGAATGTGACAGCTCAGAAAAGCTCATAAAAACCATTTTCCTGTAAAATAAAAAGAATCTAAAAATAAAATGAAGCTCTTTATGTACAATAATATATTTTACATACTTTACAAAACAACTACTGTAAGTTAAATGCTAAGAGTAAAAATACTTCTTACATTCTTTTCTTCTTCACTCATATTCAGCTCAAGATCTTTCAGATATTCTTCATCTACAAAATCCTCTTCCTCCTCCTCCTCGTCCTCTATCTGCTGCTGTTCATCTTGCTCTTGCGTTACAAGCTTCTCCCAAGAATTTTCTGATGTCTTATCATCACCGTGAAGATGTTCGGGAGTTTCTGTTCCATCTTTCCCATCTGGTTCAATTAATGGGATTTCAGATGGGTGACATCCCTCAGATGACTCGTCAGTTTCTTCTGAAGCTCTGCTGATAACACAAGATAAAAATACAAATAAATACAGTAACAAAATATACTGGCTACCACAGATACAAAATTTCAATACTGTATCTACATTAAATGAATACGGCACTTTAAGTATGCTGTTAAGTATGCTTTAAGTCAGCCCGTGACAGCTGTTAGTCAGCTGTCACGGGCTGCTTCCTGGGGGTGGAGGCCTGGTCGAGGACCGGGCCGCGGGGACACTAAAAAAGCCCCGAAATCATCTCAAGATAACCTCAAGAAGATGCTTGGGGTCAAATAGTTACCTGGGTTCTGATTCATGGACGGGCATTTCTCTGTCTTCATCTTCGAGCGAGTGAAATGAATCATCACTAGCATCACTAAGAGGTGTGCTGGGTCGAGATCCATCTTCCACCTCACACTTCGATGATCCTTTGTCCACCTTATCACAGAGATCTGCAGATGCCATTTCTTTTTCAAGACTCTCCATTTCAGCACACACAGCTTCTGAAAAATACAATGCTGAATCTAACCGATCTAAGGGATTGGATAGATCCCAACAGGTATACGATACAATGAAATAATCCAAGCTAATAATAAATCATTCATAATTAAGTGGTATAATGGTATATTCTTACATTTTCTTCTCCATCCTAATCAGTAATTTCTGGTTTAGTGACAATTGACAAAACTTTGAACTGAAAAATAGGGACTAAATTACAATATATAATTTTTTAATGACATCTTTAATGTCATTTAAAAGGCGTCATCATGTCAAATGTCATTTTTTTAATGACATCATTTTCCCAAGCAAGGGTCATGGGTTCACCCAGGTCACTGCTAGCATACTAGGCTCAGCAACTTTGAGATCAACCACAAAAAATTACTTTTAAATGGGAAAAGGGGAGGGGAGAGCATATCTCAATTCACCAGAAAGAGGAACAACTATCCAAGACACCAAAGAACACTCTAAACCACAACACCCCCTCTAGATTTACCTGTATTTACCTGTGGGCCACCAACACACTAGTGGCCTCATTGAGGACAGGAAGCCAGTGGCTTGTCAAAGGTCCCTCCCATTTGTCATCATGATTTTTTTCAAGCTGGATTTTAAAAGTTTACAGAGTTTTGGCATTTATGGCTTTGGCAGAGAGGCAGTTCCGAGGGTTTATAAACCTGTGGGTTAAAAAGCATCTCCTCTTTTCAGTCCCACATTGTGGCTTGAGCTTGAAATCATTGCTCCTTATGATTACATTTAATTAATGGTTACATTTGGTCTTTTGAAGAGACTGTGGATCAACATCCTCCAAATAGTTCAATACTGTATTTCAAAAGTTTCGACAAGATCAGTCCTGTCATGCTAAGTTTGCAGTGTTATTAGCCCCGTGGCTCTCAACCGATCCTGGAATAAAACTTGACTTAGTTCTGAAATTATTTTTGATGCCCACTGTTGTACTTTGTCCAGAGGAGCCATGTCCTTTTGAAGATGAGGTCAGTCTTTATGCTTGGACAGAATAATCCAAGTGGGGGGGGGGGGCACATCAGAGGTTTACACAGTTTAATCAATACCTTCTTTTCCTTGAAGTTAAAGGTATGTTTGATTATTCCTAGAGTTTGGTTAGCTTTCTTTTTTACTGCTGCTCCCACTTGTTGTGCAACTTTCAGTGAGTGATGGATTTTGACTCCAAGGTCCTTTCCTTCATTAGTCTGCTGCAAGGTAATGCTATTAATTTGGTAGTTGTGACATGGGTTGTTATGGCCTACATTTGCCATACCAACCCATGCAAGACAATGCTAACGTCTTGCATTTTTCGATATTGAAAGGCATTTGCCAATTTTCTGACCATTTATGGAGTTCATGTAGACCTTTCTATAAGGCTTAAATATCATTTTCACTTTCCATTTAACCATAAATTTAAATGTCATCTGGAAATTTGATGACGATTGTAAAATTTTCACATCATTGATGTACATGACAATAGAGGGTTGCTCCAAAATGGAGCCCTGTGGTACCCTACTTACCATATTTCTCCAGCAAGATTCATTCCCATTTAGCACGACCCATTGTTTTCTTTATTTTAACCATTCTAGTATTTTTACCATGTATTCCATGTGTCTGTAATATCCTTGATAGTCTTTCATGTGATACCTTATCAAAGGCTTTAGCAAAACCCATGTACATCTATTACATCCGCCAGAAGGGAGCCAATCGGCCGAGAGGACAGCACGCTGGACTTGTGATCCTGTAGTCCCGGGTTCGATCCCGGGCGCTGGCGAATAACAATGGGCAGTTTCTTTCACCCTATGCCCTGTTACCTAGCAGTAAATAGGTACCTGGGTGTTAGTCAGCTGTCACGGGCTGCTTCCTGGGGGTGGAGGCCTGGTTGAGGACCGGGCTGCGGGGACACTAAAAAGCCCCGAAATCATCTTAAGATAACCTCAAGAAGTCCTTAGTCTGAGTAGCTGGTTACCATTTCCAAAAATATGAGCAGGTTTATAAGGCAGGATCTATTTTTAACAAACCATAAATGACCTCTAGGATAACAAAGACATCCAGTTATCATTAGAAGACATAACTAGCAACTAAGGATTAGCATGGTAGCTATCCAATTACCCAAGCAGGCTGGAATTTTTACTTTGAAAAATCCCGGTGGGTTTAAACAACTTTTATTTTGCTTTAGTATTGGCTAACTTAGTTATTTCTACTTAAATTTAAACTTCCAATTCATTAAGTGATTAAATATAAAAAACCTAACTAAAGTAGGTTGAGTTTTGATAAAATAATTATTTTTTACCAACCTTGCTAGCAACTACAGTACAACCTACAGCGACCACCACAAGGAGGCAGAACTAGCATGTACAGCCAAGTCAGACCAGGGACCTATCCCCCCGTCCCTCCCCTTCCCTTTACATCCAGTCCACCCAAGTACACTTGAGTCTCGGGTGCATTTTTGAATAATCGAGATACCGTTCAGAATGGAGCATTTCACTCCTCATAATGCCATGTCTGAGGAAGGCGGGGGTGGGGCAGGTCCTGAAGAAAACGGGTGACAAGGTCGGGGTACAAATTCGAGGAGCCTCATGGCCAGATATTGCAATATTACTATGAAGGGAGAATACTTTTGCGGAGATCTGCCCGAAACGCTTTGCGTAATAGTGGCTTTAGGCATTGTATGTACTAGCTCTATCTATAAATCCATCAACTTTTGTATCTTACTTTGTATGTATGTACCTTACCTGAATAAAAATTTATTTATTTTATTTTATTTTATTATAATGGACATGGGAGGAGGCGGCGTAATTATGTTACTGGCTCAACTTGACCACCAACCACAGTAAATCAAATCAAATGTTTATTCAGGTAAAGTATATACATACAAGGTGAGATACAAACATTGATGGATTTATAGATAGAGCTAGTACATACAATGCCTAAAGCCAATAATACGCATGGCGTTTCGGGCAGTAGGTAGAGTCTTGGATTAACTGGGTAGAAATGCGAGACATGAGATTCTGGAAGACACTGGAGCGAGACAGCAATCAAGCACAATGTATAATGAACATACAAGCGACTGATCCAAGCCTGAATGATAAAGCAACAAGGAGTTATTCTGCAGCAGGGGAGGTGGACTGCAGCAGCAATTACACACCTCAACACCAATTGGTAAGACACAAATATCATTGCTGCTACTAATACATCTTTACTATAAACAAGATTTATATGATAACTCCCACGTACAGCAGTGTGGAGGCACAGAGCAGTTACAGGAGGACGAGGGCGAGAGCTCCTGCTGGTGTTGTGGTAGAGTCCCTGCCGTCGCTTGTCCTCCTTCGCAGACCTCCAAGTTTTCTTTGATGCACCACGATTTAATACAATATATTATTTTTATGTATTCAACTTAAAATTAAGACCTGTGTACTATTATTATTATTTATTATGTTATTTTTATTTAGCGTATTACTTATCTTATAGGCTGTGCCAAAATGCTTCCGCACAGTATTGCAAGAGAAGCTTCTAGATTACAAGCATATGTATATGTCTAGAACCTGTCACAATTCAGACAATCTGTCTCCTTATATCCGCAGACAGAAGCTTGTACTTAGGCATATCCTGGAGCCCCCAAGGCTACCTATTAACCTTCCCCAGGATGTAACACACACCAAATGACCTATATGCCTCCATAACGTACCTATTTAATTATTGCTATGTGAACATATTGAAGGGTCCTGGTTGTACAGTCGGGTTCGTTCTTACTCATAATCGAAAATTCCGGGTTCGAGTCCCGGCCGGGACAGAAATGGTTGGGCACGCTTCCAACCATCTCAATGCTTCCTTATTTACCTAATCTGCTACCAGAAATTTTAGCCAAATATCCCCAGTTTGCTAACTGTAGGTAGTAACTAAATGATTGTAACCTATCCACCGCTGCCCACTGGATGGGGGGGGGGGGCGGTGTGCAGGACAAACATATCAATTGTGACACTAGCTCTCCGCATATGTCAGTTGCTTAATTTAGAAACTACTTGTGGTCGATCTCGAACCTTGATATACTAATTTACAGCCCCGCACCTGTGCCAGGTACCTCCACAACGGGCTCACCATAGCCCGTGCTACTTGGAACTTTTTGTTCCAAGTAGCGAATCTTAAACAACAACATACACACACTCGCTGCCTGTTTCCCAACACAATGAACTATTATTATATATATCAGGTGAAGGGAAACGTGCATAACCATCTGTCTTTTAACATTTATATATTTCAACATCATTAGATATTCAGGAAGGAAATGTTGATCAACGGTAATCCTACCAGTTAATGAAAAACACGACCTGTTTAATCAAAATTATCTACTTCCAGAATCAAGCAACTATACTTCACTTAGTTGCTTGATTCTGGAAGTGACTTGATTCTGTAAGTGACTTGATTCTGTAAGTGACTTGATTCTGGAAGTGGCTTGATGCTGGAAGAGGCTTGATTCTGGAAGAGGCTTGATTCTGGAAGAGGCTTGATTCTGGAAGAGGCTTGATTCTGGAAGTGACTTGATTCTGGAAGTGACTTGATTCTGGAAGTGGCTTGATTCTGGAAGAGGCTTGATTCTGGAAGAGGCTTGATTCTGGAAGAGGCTTGATTCTGGAAGTGGCTTGATTCTGGAAGTGACTTGATTCTGGAAGTGGCTTGATTCTGGAAGTGACTTGATGCTGGAAGTGACTTGATTCTGGAAGTGACTTGATGCTGGAAGAGGCTTGATTCTGGAAGTGACTTGATTCTGGAAGTGGCTTGATGCTGGAAGTGACTTGATTCTGGAAGTGGCTTGATTCTGGAAGAGGCTTGATTCTGGAAGAGGCTTGATTCTGGAAGTGACTTGATTCTGGAAGTGGCTTGATTCTGGAAGAGGCTTGATTCTGGAAGTGGCTTGATGCTGGAAGAGGCTTGATTCTGGAAGAGGCTTGATTCTGGAAGTGACTTGATTCTGGAAGAGGCTTGATTCTGGAAGTGGCTTGATTCTGGAAGTGACTTGATTCTGGAAGAGGCTTGATGCTGGAAGAGGCTTGATTCTGGAAGAGGCTTGATTCTGGAATTGACTTGATTCTGGAAGTGGCTTGATTCTGGAAGAGGCTTGATTCTGGAAGTGGCTTGATGCTGGAAGAGGCTTGATTCTGGAAGAGGCTTGATTCTGGAAGTGACTTGATTCTGGAAGAGGCTTGATTCTGGAAGAGGCTTGATTCTGGAAGTGGCTTGATTCTGGAAGAGGCTTGATCCTGGAAGTGGCTTGATTCTGGAAGAGGCTTGATTCTGGAAGTGGCTTGATTCTGGAAGAGGCTTGATTCTGGAAGTGGCTTGATTCTGTAAGTGACTTGATTCTGGAAGTGGCTTGATTCTGGAAGTGGCTTGATTCTGGAAGTGACTTGATTCTGGAAGTGGCTTGATTCTGGATGAGGCTTGATTCTGGAAGAGGCTTGATTCTGGAAGTGGCTTGATTCTGTAAGTGACTTGATTCTGGAAGTGGCTTGATTCTGGAAGTGGCTTGATTCTGGAAGTGGCTTGATTCTGGAAGTGGCTTGATTCTGGATGAGGCTTGATTCTGGAAGTGGCTTGATTCTGGAAGAGGCTTGATTCTGGAAGTGACTTGATCCTGGAAGAGGCTTGATTCTGGAAGAGGCTTGATTCTGGAAATATTTTAGTGTTCTTAGTAAACAGCAACCTTCCTACAGCCCCCACTGAGTGACAGGGATGGCTGTGTGCTTCATAAACAAAGACAATTATAGAACTAGCTCACCGCATATGGAAGCTACTTAGAGACTTCACTTATGGTCGTTCTCTAACCCATTTGCTGATGCAATATTGTGATATATATATTAAACTGTCTAACTAGCTTCTGAAGACCGTAACCTGGGGCCAGATTCACGAAAGCACTTACGAACGTGTACATCTTTCCTCAATCTTTGGCGGCTTTGGTTACATTTATTAAACAGTTTACAAGCATGAAAACTTGCCAATCAACTGTTGTTATTGTTATAAACAGCCTCCTGGTGCTTCGGAGCTCATTAACTGTTTAATAATTGTAAACAAAGTCGCCAAAGATTGAGAAAAGATGTACAGGTTTGTAAGTGCTTGCGTAACTGCTTCGTGAATCTGGTCCCTACTTAGCTAAATGAGTATTGGGGTTCAGTTCTTGAGCCCATTATGTGTCTCTATGTACACTTTCCCACAACCGCCCACAGGGTGGGTATTGGGTGCATAATAAATGAACTCAACTGTTATTGACGTTAAATCGACAATAATTCAACATTAAAGTCTGCTATCAGAAAAATAACAAACTCTGTTTTCAGTCAACACTCAGCCCCCCTGTTTTAATCCCTAAACATGCTAAACATAAACTCACTCCATACATTCTCTTGTGCCATTTATATTTACAAAACCCTATTCTTAAATGCAAACACTGTTCTGAAACTCTTCCTGGACAGATGTAACAGAACCCATAATCACCACACCAGAAATAAATATATCTTTGATATCCCCAGAGTCAAACTTAATCTGTGTAAACACTCTATGCAAATAAAGGGACCTAGGCTATGGAACTCACTCTCTAATGAATTGAAAAGCTGTCCAACCTTTGCCTTATTCAAAAGCAAAAACAAAAAGTACCTAATTTCATCTTCATAATTTCCTACCTTGTGCTTTAAACTCACACTGTATCTAGTGCTGCCCAATCCCCCAATATATGTACCTAAGCCATATAACCTTACCATTGTAATCATTGCTGTTATCTTATTGACATATCACTGATGTCAACAATTACAGACCTATATCAATTCTGCCAACCTTGTTAAAAATATTTTAAAAACTAATCTATAAGCAGCTTTACTCTTTTCTAGCCAAACTCAATATACTTAGCCCTTGCCAATATGGTTTCAGACCCAATAAAAGCACTAACGATGCACTTATTAGAATGATTAACTTGATACATGCAGCTCTTGATAAAAATGAGTTCCCTGTTGGGTTATTTGTGGACCTGCGTAAGGCTTTTGACACTGTCAACCACCAAAACCTTCTTCTTAAATTACATCATTATGGAGTCAGAGGACACTCCCTGCAATACCTTCAGTCCTACCTTACTGACAGGCTCCAGTATGTTGCTGTGAATAATTCTATTTCTCCCACCCTACCCATCAACATCGGTGTTCCTCAGGGCAGCATACTTGGCCCTCTCCTCTTTCTCATATACATTAATGACCTTCCAAATGTCTCTGCATTTGGAAGGTCCCAGTCCTGACCCTCTTGCTCTAATTGTCACTGTGAATACTGAACTAAATAAAGTCCATCTCTGGCTAACTGCCAACAAACTCACCCTTAACATTGACTAAACTTTCTATATTTTGTTTGGCAATAAATCCTCAAATGACATTAATCTAAGAATAAATAATATACAAATTAGCAACAAAGTTGATGGTAAATTCCTTAGTGTCCTCATCGATAACAAGCTGAATTTCCAGGGACACATTCAAAATATAGCAAAAAAATGTTTCTAAAACTGTTGGCATTCTTTCTAAGATCAGATATTATGTACCCCGCCCTGCCCTGGTGACGCTCTATTACTCTCTCATCTATCCTTATCTCAACTATGGTATCTGTGCTTGGGGTTCTACTACCCAAAATCATTTACGTCCTCTAATTACCCAACACAAAGCTTTTATTAGAACAATCTCTAACTCTGGCCCCAGACAGCACTCCGTACCCTTATTCAAATTTCTGAATATGTTAGATATTAAGTCACTGCAAATCCTCTCATGTGTTCTCTATATATTTAAAATTCTGAATTGTAGTGTCAATCCTGACCTCAAAAGCTTCATTGAAGGTTGTAACAGAACCCATGAGCACCACACCAGAAACAAATACAGTTTTGATATTCCAAGAGTACGACTTAATCAAACTAGAAATGCTCTACAAATCAAGTGACACAGAATGTGGAATGACCTTCCCAATCATGTCAAAGGCTGTATCTCTCTCAACCAGTTTAAGATGAAAACTAAGTACTACCTAATTAACTCCATGTAACCCACCTTACCCCTAAATGTTAACCCATGTCTTACTATTTTTTAAACAAAGCTGTTTGTTGACCAACTTGTATATTGGATATTTTCTACCATGTTCCACCCTATTTAATCTTTGATTTTTTTCTTTCAACGCAATTTATAATTTAAGCTTAATTACAAATTTTCGGTACAAAAGGTCGTAATTTGAAAATGAAAATAGGTGCAGAGAGTCAGAATTCGACTCAAAAATCACGCTCAGGAGTCAAATTTCCGACATTTCAGATATTTTGAAAACTGCAGGGGGGTTTGGGCAAAAT